TTATCTTCCTAATCGCAGTGCTGCCAGACATAAAAAATGATACCTCTATTTTACACGCCATCAATCTTATACCTTGGCATGTAATACTTTGAAACGTTTGAGTTTATTTATTTGAGGAATCAGCGGAAGAGTCGCAAAACTTAAGTTGCTGCACAGTGCAGACGACAAGTGAGACACCATATTGGCGGGAAACCGATTCGAAGACTCCGTGATTATAAACTTAGTGACCAACGCGCATGTCCGCGACCCATAGTCTGGCTAATAAACAAGAAATGCACATTATAAACGACATTATACAAATTTGGTGTTTTTAGACAATTTTTTAGACATTGCTTTCTGAAGTGTTAATATATCTTTGACAAAATTCATCTCTGCGACACAACTGAAGCTCCATAACTAAATATTGAACATCATTTTCACATGAGGATATGTCGTAGTATGGTTAAAAAAATATATTGAAAAGGGGGGGGGGGGAGGTGTCAGGACAGGCACTTCCACAAAAACACGATGACTCAAGATGTAGAGCTGAGAAGTTTTTATTGGCTGTAGATATATACAAACAAAATAGAACCTCTACAAGTGCAGATCTAGAAAAAAAAGAAAAGAAAGAACAATCATAATTACATGTTCACATTCAATTTGTTCACATCAATGATAAAGAAGGCATAATCTAACACGTGTCAGGTTTTAAATACCAATAGAATAAATTCAACGTTACCATCATCCAATTCGTCTAATAATGAAGAATGTCAAACTTTTATGATTATCATAAACTGTGTGTCCAAGACTAATCAATCTCAACAAATATCAATCAAAAAAATGTTTCCCCATCATCAACTCTTATCTTTAATATGCCATTTCATATGTTACTCCACTAATCTCATTTAGAATCCAAATAACTAAGACAAAATATAGATGTTACATCAACTAACATAGACAACTCTTAACTCTTGACAAGAGACACATTGTAATCGATGTTTTCCTCTAACATGTGCATCCTGATTTAAGCAACCTTAATAAAGTAATAATAAGTGCTTTGAAGTGCATATACGAAACAAAATAATGAATTATTTCAAGAATAACACAAAATGTATACTGGTTCACATGTATATTCGGCTACCCTGACTCACCCAACCAAACTCTAACAGCAGTTACACTGAAAACTCCTTGTTGCTCGGTGCTATACGAAACATTCCAGGATGCAGTCATCTACGAGGAATATACAACACGACACTAATGAATATCCAATACCGTGTACAAGATTGTATTTATACACCTATCTTTAGAGCTTTCCGTAAAATCCTATAACGAACCAAAATCAACGAGTACAAGCGAAATGATTAATTAATCCAACCTAGCACTTTGTAATATGACCATCACAATAATAGTTCCACACAAAACACTGATTTGTAATAATCATGATGATTTTTTTTAAAGGTTCTTTCACTCTAAGTGCCCCTTTGCTCGACTTCTAAAACATATGAGAGGCATACAAAACGAAAATCATAAATAATCTTCAGGTTTAAGAACTAACGTCGGTGAATAGTCATGCCATGATGCCAATATAACCTGTATAGAGTACCGAAGTGTGACGATATATTAGCCAAGTTGTCAACAGGCATTAAACAAAATAGCGGCCATATAGCAATTGTTACAATGGATAACAGACATGATAACATTTACGTTCAGATGTTATAGACATGTTTTTTTTGTGTGTAGGACAATTTAGCATGCACTTGTGGGTCAAACTGCTTCACCGTTTTTAAGCAATCAAGATGGAACTTGGTTGACATACATACGGTATCCTATAGTAGGTGTATAGTACTAGTATCAACCTGTGTGCACCATTTGCTTCATTGTTGTACATTCCTCTCATAGAGCGGTAATGTGTGGGCTGTAAGCACATTTAGTGAAAACTACATTTTCCGTAAGAAAATAAATTACAGATAAATACTCTATGGATATGTAAAGTAGAATGTAAGTGGACAACAAGAGTCTGGTATTGGGACCGTGGGGATAGCAAACCGCACGTTTCGTCCCTTAGACAGAACGTGGGAGTCACGGACGAAATGTGCGAGCTGAAAACCCGCATACTTGGTCCGTCAGACCATAGACCTACCACCAGGTAGGTCTATGGTCAGACAAACGTGTACCCAGGATATAATATGTGTTCACACCGGCCTGTATCCGAGGGTGACTTTTGATTTCAAACTATCTCTGGGCCCTGTCGTATTATGAGTTGTGATTGATATCAATCGAGAAAAAAAAATTACGATTAATTGCAACTGTTAATTTGACAGAACCCTGGTCTTAGTTAACTCCATAATAACCTTTTTAATCATCTCCTTGTAGACGCTTTACAATGGAAATTTGGAAATAAACTCAAACCCAGTGCTAAGAATACCTTGACTTGAGATAAAGATTTGTAACATTTAAACTAACCTGCCATGCTAGTAAACAACTCGACATCCATTATGTAGTTTCCCAAAAGCATACCAGTAGATGTCTGCACGATGGTCAATTTATCGTTGAATTCATTGTACCAGTCTCCCTGTAAATCACAACAATGACTTGAAAAAGAAAGAAATATGTTAAAGCATTAGATCATGCATTTAAAGAAGCAGGCACAACACCACCAACAGCTCTCTCTCTCTATCTCTCTCTCTCTCTCTTTCTCTTTCTCTATTCGCCAACATTCGTGAGAAAAGTTGGCGAATCTAAATTCGCAACGTTCGCAACGCGGCATTCGCCGCTCAGTGAGATAACCTGCTTAAAACCAGTAAAACTGCGTTTCTCTTTCTTGGTCGGGAATATTTGTAAGAGGGGAAATCTCTCCCACCCCCTTGCCCTTCTTCAATACGCTAGTGCTAGATATACGCCTTGTGACAGGTACATCTTTGTAGCTTCACGAACGCTTGATAATAATAATAATAATAATAATAATAATAATAATAATAATAATAATAATACCAAAATACTTTATAGTTTGTGATGAGCCAGAAACTCTAAAGTGTGCGGCGGTCATTTATAACCAGAGAGATTCAGGATTATCAGAGAAGCGAGGAGGGGTCACATTCAAATCTTGAATACTGCTACCCATCTCTTAGCTCTCTCAGTGGGGAGGAGAAAAAGATACAAAGAATGTCATTTATTCTCAATAGGGGCGTTTTCGGCCCCCTGGATCTGCCTTTGTATGGGGGGGGGGGGGGGGGGATTGGCGAAACTTGTTTTTGAATACTGGGATGACATTCAGCGCCTTACCTGTACCTAACTCATAGGCATGTCATACTTACATGTGCTTGAGTGCTTGTGAATAATGATTCAGCCGGATTGCGACCTCCTTAAATTGCTGAAGCGCGGTATAGTAAGAGGGGATCTTTGCTGATCCGTGATGGCTTATTGGTCCGCAGTATATCACCTAAATAAGGGGAACCTGTAGAAGGCAATGTCAAATCACTGCAGTATCTTTCCAAAGAATAACAATGGCTAGACATCTAAAAAGTAAACATAATGGGAAAAGAATTGTTCTTCTCATCAGAAGGATTATTCTGTGCTCGATAGTGACTGTCATGTGGGACAGGTGACACCAGACCGTCATCCAGCCACTGTACGCAACAGTAGTCTAATGCAAACTATCCTCATGGTTGATGTTCATGCTTAAGTTGATCACGGTAGAGCTGACGGCATAGTATGGACCTGGAACTAGAAATGAAAGAGGAGAGAGATGGATAGAGTGGTGTACAAGTCAACATCAAGTTATTACAAATACATTTTTTCCACCATCCGAGACGACTGTGGACTTGGAAAAGTCTAGGCGACAGGTCCAGCAACCGGAGTGACTATATCACCATGAACAGGTAATGTCAGAACTCTATACATCGAGCTAATTGGTTTCCAGGAGCTGACTGCTACAGCGACTATGTGCTCATCATATGTCACATGTGGGTCAGGCTTAGAACGTTGAAGAAGATGGAGGCAAGCCAGAGATTGGAACTGAACCTTGTTAGAGAGGACAAATAACAGAAGGAAAATTACACAGTGGCAGTACAATATAGGTTCAGCATGTTACAGGTGGAGGGATGAAATGAGTCTCCATGACCAAGGTTTTCTGAAGCTGTCTCCAAGGTATAATCTGTTTGATGAGCCATGCCACTAAGCTCATTCTGAGAGTTCTCCTAATGAAAGTAAGATCAAAGATTCGACAAGAGATATCAGAAGTGCAGTATGAATTTATAGACAGTATGGGAACTAGGAATGCTATGTCTGCCCTGCATGTGTTAATTGAAAGAGCTATGGAGGTGCGGAAAGGTGTATATTAGTGCTTAAATAGAATAGACCAAGGCCTTTGATAGAGTAAGACATGAAGACCTAATGGCTATTTTCTGTAGGTCAGACATTGAGTGGGAGGATCTGCGGCTGATAAGGAACATGTTCTGGGATCAGAAAGCTGCAATCAGGGGTGACCAGGGGTGACCAGCGAATGTACAGAGATCAAGAGAGGAGTTCGGCAAGGCTGCGTAATGGTAACTGTCTTTTTCAGGTTGAATGACAGTTAGACCCAGTTATTCAATTTTATGTAAGATATTTCACGCATTTTCATTTTGCTGTATAGCGAGGTGACAATGCGTTAAATATCTGACATGAAGGGTATTATAGTTGACGGCCAGAACGTAACCAACCTAAGATTATCATGTCAATGATACTGCCCTAGCTGCAGGCAGCAGGTATAAGTTGCACGCACTACTGAATAAAGTAGCCATCGAAAGTGAAAACCTGGGCTAGCTGTCATTCAACCTGAAGAGGACAGAATGTTTGGTAGTTTCCAAGAAGAAAGATGAAACCAGTTGTTGTAATTTCCACATGCATCTGAACGGGAGGAAGCTTGCCCTACTTCATCCAAACAATCGACACTGTGAGAGAGAGAGAGAGAGAGAGAGAGAGAGAAAGAGGGGAAGATAGAGAAGGAAGAGACAGACAGATAGACAGAGAAAGAAGGGAAATAAGAAGAAGGAGGAGAAAATGGTGCAACAGAAGAAGAGGAAGGGGTGGCGGAGCAGGAAGATATGGAGGAAAATGAGGAAGAAGAAGAATACTCCAAACTCCAAATTCAAAAGCAGAAACAAAATTTCAAAGCTACAACTTCCGACAATGTTTTGCAGAGACTTGCGTCTCATCCCTACCCCCGCCCCCCTTCGGTGACACCCTGATTTTACCTATTTAACATGTTTTATATCTTACCCAAGTCACAAAGATCCCCTTCAAAGCCCGGTGCGCATTCACAGATGTAGTCAGCTCTGGAATTGACGCAGGTAGATCCGTTTGCGCAAGGGTCACTCATACAGGCGTCCACAACTAAAATGGGATTGGATTTTAATAATATTAAAATCAAAATAATATACATATTTTGTTTTGATTATCACAACAAAGAACCAAGGAATAACCCCTAGTCCATTGTTGCCACAGACAGTGGTGTTGACGCATATACAAACGGTCATAAACTGTCATCTCGTTGCACCTCGACAGGCTGTCCGTTCCAAACGTTATCTGAGAAATTTTATTTTGGTTAAATAATAATATTGTTTATAATTTAATAAGAAATTTACAAATTAAATCATATGGTGTATAGACTTAAATGAGGTACTATCACAACAGTTGATTTTCCGATCAACCATTCATCAAAATCATAAAATATGGACATTAAAATAACCTCCCCCCCAAAAAAAAAAAAAAAAAAAAAACCTTTTATGACATTCCGTAAAGTTCGATATTTTATCAAGTTGATAAATGGTTGATAGGAAGCTCAAATGTTGTTGAAGTACCTAATAATTATAAGTTATAATATATTATATGATTATTGAAGCGGTATAACTTCAGAAGTAAGAATAACACTTGTAATCATACTTACAAACGAATCGTATTATAAGCTGACGAAGAACTTATTATCAATGTACAGAAACAATTGGTTGCTTATACCTCTATGCTTATTACCCAATGATCGCAGTTCATTGTAAAATTAAAAAGATAAACATCCAATCCAATGTGGGGATTAGCAGATCAGTAGTATACAGTTACCTAATATCAAAACGCAGATGAGACTGACAAAAATACTTTTGAATATGCCGTTCGTAATTCACCTGGGAAAGACTGGAATAGTGGCTTGTTGTAAGGATTGTGGAATGCTAAGACACAATTATGTAAATGTTTGCATAAATGTCACTTGCTGTGGAAACCATGCATTGTTGAACACAGATGAATATTGTACTTACGTGTCTCGCAGTTTGTACCCTTTGCACCTACGGAACACATGCATGTGTAGCCATTTACCTCATCGTCGCACGTACCGCCATTTTGGCATGGGCCACTCGCGCACTCATCGATATCTGAAAAGACAAATATTATTATGTAATTATTAAATGAAAAAGGTTTCATCTTTACAAAAAAATAAGATTTAATTCTTCTAAAGACGGCAGTATGCGCAAATGATTACACTTATAGCTTTCTTCATTCCGATGAATCTGAAAGATTTATGTTTGAGAGACTGCTCTTAGATAATTGTATTACTGTTAGGAAAGGCGGCTTAATGTTGGAAAGCGACAGCATAATATGCAGTGGTGGAAATAAGTTGCTGAAAACTCGTTTCCTAGTAATCGTGTTTCGAGGGCGCTGGGCATGTCTGCAAAGTTCCATGACAAGCAAGCAACCCCTATAAACAGATAAATAAATGAATGAATAAATAAATAGAGAAATAAATAAATAAATATAGTTATCCCAAGTTGGTCTATAAGCCCTGTGTAGCTTGACTGTTCCCTGTTTCTTCTTGTAACAATTGATATGACCTACTAGATAGACACATAATGTCAGTCCATCCAGGAGCACACTGGCAGCTGAATTCGTTGAATCCATGAGTACACGTCCCACCATTAGAACAAGGGTCACTAGCACATTCGTCAATATCTGTAGAGAAAGCAAAATGTAGATTTATTTATCCAACCATTTAATTTAATTTCATGGCAAAGAGAGGAAAACAAAGTATAGAGACAAAGAAGGTAGAATATACTATCGTTGAATCCTAGTGATAGCCATAACCAAGAAGGACATTTGTTCAGGAGGGTTAGATATGAATTGAAGGTCTGCGAGTGTCACAAATAAGGTATCAACATTATGCTCACCTGACCCTTAGTAAATGCCTATACCCCCTGAACTTCTGGGGGCTCCACCCCTTGATCCCCTAGACCCCACGCCAATTTACGCTACGCTCTACCTGATCGTAAATACCACCTCCACCCTCACCCCACGCCCAACTAATTAGAGAATCGTTCAGCGAGGCCTGCATGTTAGAATGGGGTGATGGGGTGACAACAACAACAAACAAACACATATTTTGCTCGCATAATTTCAAATTTGGCCCCCCCCTAAGAAATCTTGGATCCGCGCCTGGATACGAGTGTTTCCTTTTTTTATACAAAGTGCCCTTCTGCTTCTGAATACATGGTGTCGAGGTCTGGCGGATACGTCACTGGACTTTGGCACACATGGTTCGCAGTTCAAGTCCCGCCGCGACTCTAATGTCCTTCTACAAGACATAAATCGACATTTCCACTCTCCACCCAGGTGAGAGAAAAACCCAATCTTAGTCCAGAGTTGATCTCTAATACAAGTCTAAATACTAATAAATTCCAAGACATACATTCATTGAATGCTTTAGCGTCTCGGGGCCCCTGGTGGGGTCGAAGGTGCGGAAACCCCTGAATCTCAGGGGTTTCAGGCATTTGATTACGGTCAGATGAACATATTTTTATACCTTATTTGTGACACTGGCAGGACACTGATTGGCGTGAGGTCCAGCGGGCGGAGCCCCCAGAAGCTCAGGGGTTTTAGGCAACATCATCGTCAGATTAGCATCCAGTGGGGTCCAGGGGGCAGAGCCCCGGAAGCTCAGGGGTTTAGGCATCTGATTAGTACGGTCATATGAACATATTTTTTATACTTTTCAAAGCTACAACTTCCGACAATGTTTTACAGAGACTTGCGTCTCATCCCTAGCCCCACCCCCCCCTTCGGTGACACCCTGATTCTACCTATTTAACTTGTTTTATATCTTACCCAAGTCACAAAGATCCCCTTCAAAGCCCGGTGCGCATAGACAGATGAAGTCAGCTCCGAAATTGACGCAGGTAGATCCGTTTTCGCAAGGGTCACTCATACAGGCGTCCCCAACTAAAATGGGATTTGATTTTAATAATAATAATATCAATATAATATACATATTTTGTTTTGATTATCACAACAAAGAACCAAGGAATAACCCCTAGTCCATTGTTGCCACAGACAGTGGTGTTGACGCATGTACAAACGGTCATAAACTGTCATCTCGTTGTACCTCGACAGGCTGTCCGTTCCAAACGTTATCTGAGAAATGTTATTTTGGTTAAATAATAATATTGTTTACAATTTAATAAGAAATTTACAAATTAAATCATATGGTGTCTAAACTTGAATAAGGTACTTTCACAACATTTGATTTTCCGATCAACCATTCATCAAAATCATAAAATATGGACATTAAAATAACCGACCCCCCCCCCCAATACCTTTTATTTCATTCCGTAAAGTTCGATATTTTATCAAGTTGATAAATGGTTGATAGGAAGCTCAAATGTTGTTGAAGTACCTAATAATTATAAGTTATTGAAGCGGATGTAACTTCACAAGGAAGAATAAAACTTGTAATCATACTTACAAACGAATTGTATTATAAACTGACGAAGAACTAATTACCAATGTACAGAAACAATTAGTTGCTTATACCTTTATGCTTATTACCCAATGATCGCAGTTCATTGTAAAATCAAAAAGATAAACATCCAATCCAATCTGGGGATTTGCAGATCAGAGGTATACAGTTACCTAATACCAAAACGCAGATGAGACTGAAAAAAATACTTTTGAATATGCCGTTCGTGATTCACCTGGGAAAGACTGGGGTAGTGGCTTGCTGTAAGGATTGTGGAATGCTAAGACACAATTATCTAAATGTTTGCATAAATGTCACTTGCTGTGGATACCATGTATTGTTGAACACAGAGGAATATTGTACTTACGTGCCTCGCAGTTTGTACCATTTGTACCTACGGGACACATGCATGTGTAGCCGTTTACCTCATCGTCGCACGTACCGCCATTTTGACATGGGCCACTCGCGCACTCATCGATATCTGAAAAGACAAATATTATTATGTAATTGTTAAATGTAAATTGTTTCATCTTTCCAAAACCAAGATTTAATTCTTCTAAAGACGACAGTTTGCGCAAATGATTACACTTATATCTTTCTTCATTGCGATGAAGATGGAAGATTTACATTTGAGAGACTGCTCTTAGATAATTGTATTACTGTTCGGAAAGGCGGCTTAATGTTGGAGAGCGACAGAATAATATGCAGTGGTGGAAATAAGTTGCTGAAAACTCGTTCCCTAGTAGTCGTGTTTTGGGTCGCTGGGCATGTCTGCAAAGTTCCATGACAAGAAAACAACCCCAATAAAAAGATGAATAAATGAATGAATAATAAATAGAGAACTAAATAAATAAATATAGTGATCCCAAGTTAGTTTTTACGCCCTGTCTAGCTTGACTGTTCCCTGGTGCTTCTTGTAACTATAAAATGACCTACTAGTTTCACACGTAAGATTGGTCCACCCAGGAGCACACTGGCAGCTGAATTCGTTAATTCCGTCAAAACACGTTCCACCATTAGAACAAGGAGTACTAGCACATTCGTCAATGTCTGTAGAGAAAGCGAAATGTAGATTTATTTATCCAACCATTTAATTTCGTGGCAAAGAGAGAGAGAACAAAATCAAAAGAAGGTAGAAATACAATCGGGGCATCCCAGTGATAGCCATAACCAAGAAGGACATTTGTTCAGGAAGGTTGGATAGGAGTGCAAAACCAGTGATGTAATCGTACCTTCCCTTAAGTCGTGAACACGACTCATACATCTCCTGATCATGGTATGGTTCACGAATCCATCTTTTGGTTGCTTACATGTCAAGTATAGTAGACATATAAAACGTACATTTTCATTATTATCTATATGCTTTTGTCTCTTCAAATCTATTCGCGATAACGAAAAATAAAACCCGAGAGTAATGGAAGAGGGGGAATGCAAACTGAAAAGCAGATGTCCGTTCAGATATAGCCCTTTTCTACACCACCGTATTTGAGTGATTTTTGTATACAGACGTGTATCAATCGGATATGATAATATATTTCTCATTCAATCGTTGAAGAGGTTCATCTGTTTGGTGATGTAACTTAAAAGTTATTTCTTCCTTTATAGTTCAGCTTTTGAAGCATTTCATAGTCATGGTAATAAAAAAAGCATTATGAAAAGGATGCCAATTAAATTCCTTATGAATCGAGATAGACAAAAGATAGCTGAAAATGTTGGTCTAAACACCTGTGCGTAGTCCCATATATCTTTTTTGTTCGTGCGGTGCATGCCATCAACAATAAGACGGAGTCAGTTTCTTATCCTTTTTATCATTTCGAAACTCCACATTACATACCAATTTTTATGTACTACATAAGCAACATTTCCCATAGCTTCCAGAACAGTTTCTATCAAAATGTGATTACATGGCCAGTACTCAGCTTTATATTTAAACTTCATATGAGAGCTTCATATCACAAGAACATATCGGTGAGATGATTCCTAGAGTTTTGGTATACTCACTGTATTCACATAAAGGACCGGTCCATCCATCCATACAGTCACACCTGTAGCTGTTGATTCCATCCATGCATATTCCGTTGTTCTGACAGGGTGTGCTTCCACACTCGTTGAAGTCTATTTGATAGTGAAAATATAAGAGGAGAGTGGGGTTGTTATAAGACAAGCACGCGCTTATTATTTACATCAGAGTTCACTTATGGGCTTGAGAGACAGAAACGACAAGCCAAGATCCAGGTATGTAAAGCCATTTAGACAATTATATAATGTCACAGCTTAAACTTTCGACAATCCTGTGAGTCATTCGACTGATCCCCATAGATTAAACTGAATGTTGACAGACCCACACACACACACACACACACATATATAACACATAGATATATACATATATATTGTCCAGCAGTAAGTAACTAGAAATTATCATATTCCTAGTATCTTTACACGCAGTATATCAAAGAAAACACACATGCATACACCAAACATACTTACTTATTTGACAGTTTTTTCCGATGAATCCAGGCTCGCAAGTACAACTGTAATCATTGATCCCATCCATACATGATCCGCCATTCAAACACGGGCCATTAGCACAGTCATCAATATCTAGGTGAAGAGAGTAGGAAAGTCACATTAGGTAAGGTAACTTATTTTTTGGTCGGATACGGTCTTCCATAAATCCCTCCCAAATGACTGAAAACACATTATAAATCTTCACTATTCCACAATTTTTGTTTAAATCCATATAAATTAAGCTCTACATATAATATCGGAACCTGTATTGTCCATGAATCATTTAAATTCAAGTATTTTATTCATTTCAAGTTGAAATAATATGCATTTTTACAAATAGATACGTATACAATACATCATAATTTAACATTCGATATGATATACATTTTTAAATAAATGTCTTAGACTTAAAAAGAACCAAACCTCCTCCACAAATATAATTTTTCACAAGAATGGATAAATATTAAGGCAAATGAGATCAAATAAATTAAAAATATCAGAACAATCATTCGTACAGCAAACCAATTTTTAAAAAGAAGGTTTATCGTGATCTTTCCTCAAACTATGTTGGCAAAATAACAAAATAACAAATTTACGCGGCGTGTAAAGTGTTCGTTCCAGAAAACCGTCAGAAAATTACATGTTGCTTTGTTTTTTGCTTAATTCTTTGGGTTTGTTCGTTTTCTTTGTTTGTTTGTTTTGGTAGGATCTATTTTTTCTGTAATTGATGTGAATGTATTATATTCATCACTTACCTAGGAAAATGTATTTTTTGGTTTCATATTACTCAAAGCTTTGTTGGAGGCTATTTGTTTTCAATAACTTACAATAGATAAGTAGAAAATTTAGCTTATTCTTAAGACGACTTATTTCTGTATACACCATGTGATTTCATACGTCTAAATGTATAACATTGTTAATATGTTGATGTATAATAAACATCAAATCAGATTAAATGTTATATGAACAGTAGCGAGCCAATACAGGTCATCTAATACAAGGAATGCTGGTATAACCAGCTGTCCCCTATACTGATATTTTTGCGCAATAATCTTACGCTGAATCCCATAATGATCTATTAAAAGGGTTTGGATGGAGTGATGTTGACGTACACCACAGGATTAAAAGAAATATTCTGCAGAAGTCTAAGTATATTGGTTCATTCACTTGAATCTCAATCTAAGGGTTGAGGGTTCGAATCCAAGCCCGATACTAACATCGTTCGGCGAGGCATTAATTCACATTCGCCACTCTCCACTCAGGTGTAAGTGGGTACCTGACAAATGATGGTAATAATAGTCTTGTACGGCCCCAGCTAGAACAGCTTTTATGCTGATAAGGCTGCCATGGACAAACAAATTTTGATAATTTTATCATTATTATTGTTGTTATGATTAATATTGTGATCATTATTATTATTATTGCTATTATTATTATAAGTATTATTATTATTGCTATTAATATTATTATTTTATTATAAGTATTATTATTATTGTTATCATTTTTATTATTATCATATTATGATGATCATCATTAATATTATTATCAATATCATTATTAATATTACTTTAAGCAATCTTTGTATTAATATGGTTTTTAAGTAAAACAAAATTGGTACATACTGTTTTCGCAGTGGGTTCCGTCGAAACCGGTGCCTGTGCATAAGCAGAAATAATTACTGTTGACCCCGTCCACGCAAACACCACCATTTTGACACGGTGCACTCATACACTCGTTGATGTCTGGAACAGATCAAGAGAAGAAGGACATGAAATCGGTCTCTTGGTTCATGATTAGATATATGCAGAATTTGCTTCTTCTTTGTCATTCGAAAGCCTTGCACATACACACAACTCCTTTTCTCCTTTGAAATCTATGCAGATCCGGCTATATTGGTACATATTTACTTTATTCTGCAAAAAAGTAAATACTGCACAAATATTTCTCATTTCCTCTGTGATTTTCAGGAAGATGGTACTAAATACTTTATTCTGACTTTGAGGATTCCGTTATATCAGACCTCAATGAAAAAGTGTGAATTAAGAATGTAAGAACAAAAAAAAAACACAGTTTTCATAGTTTCATGAAGATACTCAAAGCTATCCCTTTTCATATTTTGAATATATGGGCATTTGAAGAGCCACCCTTGTCAGTCAGAGGACATTTGCTCTATGACATCTTTCCATACTAACATACAAAGAATGAAAACAAAAATCACAAATCACTTTTCACTTTTCACTGAACTCAACTATCTATTTGAACTGAAATTCGGAGTAAATCCTCAAATATCAAAGGAGGAAACACTTACTTGTTTGACATTCGTCGCCCGTGTATCCTGCTTCACATGTACATGTGTACATGTTAGTTTCATCTGTACATGTACCTCCGTTCTCACAAGGGTTGGAAAGACACTCGTTAATATCTGGATAGTGAAAAGCAGTGGTTAAACAAAATGTAAAAATCAGTAATGCTGAACATTCCACCCTAAACGTTTTCCAGCATGAGGATTGGTATCTAATTGGTTATGCTTGAATATGCACAATTGTATAATATTTATTAAACTAATGATCACTTTTGGCAAGTATTTGGCACAATATTCCTCACACGGGGAAAACGAGGGTATTGCAAGTTGCTTGTTTTGTTTATTTGTTGTTGTAGCATTTATTTATTCATTTATGTATGTATCTATCAATATGTTTATTTGTGAAGGGGCGGTCACACAATCGTCGATATCTAACCCGACAATATCCTAGCTAACAAACAAAACTGAGAAACATAATTATAAACAAACGGCTTTATCGTAAATGAAATCTGTAAAGGCCTGAAAATGTTGTTAGATAATGAACAAAAATCATGTCCTTGTCTTTTTTAGATTTCCTTTCTAAAACAACCTGAATATTAAGTAACTAATTTAGGCCAATATTGTTCAACAGTAAATCAAAATATCCAAAATATGATTGGGATGGCGCCTAAATATGAATTTCGAACTAATACAGTAAAGTGTTTGTTACGCCACACTTCTACACACATGGTCTAAGAGTTTTGTCCTTTGGCAAAAGCCAGAAAGTTTCTTCTATCAGCATTCATTACTTAAATTTACTTTAAAAAAAAACTTGCATGGGGCAAGTAACTGAAATCAAGGATAAAGATCTGAATTACGTTTCACCTCACTCCTTCGATTTTTTTTACTCATACAGTATCAACTTACATCAAATAAATATGACGCAAAATTGACTTTGGCTTTATTACAGAAAATATGGGACGCTTTCTGAAATATCCATAACTTAAAGTTTAAGATTTGATGAATATCTTTCTACCTTACCACATAATCTAAAAGAAGTTTTAAAAGGGTGCCGGATTGCACCTTTTAGGAGACATGTTATAGTACCCTTAATGTTTCAATCCTGCTCCATTTGGGATGCAAACAGAGGCAATAGCAGCACCTTTAGGGGTTCAATTTGCACCATTTAAAAGGTGCAATCCTGCACCCATACTCGAGGAATACTCTTGGAATTTGCTCGTACACAAATACATATTAAACACGCATGTTGTTTCTTGGTTAGTAGTCATTATATCCAATATATCTATTGCTAAAACGTGAATGTAATTGTAACATAATCAGACAAAAGAATCTATTGGTTAATGATTGCCGAAGAAAAATGCAAATCACAAATTCGTCGCTGTTTTCACGAAGTGACGGTAGTGAAAAAAAATTGCATTCACTTTGCGTGACGATTTTCCTCACTACCGTCACTTCGTGAAAATAGGGACGAATTGATGTGCATTGTAATAATTTGCTTAACAAATCATGATACATGTATTTTTATGTGAACAAGTGTAAAGTAATATGCATGCAATATGCAAACTTTTATTTTGTACCCTTTTTTGATCGATAGGGTTCATTTTTGTGGGAAGGGTGCACAATCTTATATTGCACCCTTTTTTTGAACCCCTTTTCCTTCAATAGGGTTCATTTTTGTTTGCACCGTTCTTTCTTAGAGTGTACGGGTAGATCTTTTTCTTTGTAACGAGCCTTTTAAGCATACCCCCCCCCCCTTTCAGCATAAGTCCGGTGTGTAAAGTCAATACGGGCAGATCTTTTTCTTTGTTACGAGCCGGAGATTTTGGGAACATGAATGCGGTCCCTCCGTTCCAGAAGCGGGGGGGGGGGGGGGGGGAGTAGTACATGTAAAACGTAAATTTACACTAATATCTATGTGCTTTTGTCTCTTCAAATCTATTCGCGATAACGAAAAATAAAACCCCGAGCGAAATGGAAAAGGGGGAATGCAAACTGAAAAGCAGATGTCCGTTCAGATATAGCCCTTTTCTACACCACCGTATTTGAGTGATGTTTTATACAGACGTGTATCAATCGGATATGATAATATATTTCTCATTCAATCGCTGAAGAGGTTCATCTGTTTGGTGATGTAACTTAAAAGTTATTTCTTCCTTTATAGTTCAGCTTTTGAAGCATTTCATAGTCATGGTAATACATAAAGCATTATGAAAAGGATGCCAATTAAATTCCTTATGAATCGAGATAGACAAAAGATAGCTGAAAATGTTGGTCTAAACACCTGTGCGTAGTCCCATATATCTTTTTTGTTCGTGCGGTGCATGCCATCAACAATAAGACGGAGTCAGTTTCTTATCCTTTTTATCATTTCGAAACTCCACATTACATACCAATTTTTATGTACTACATAAGCAACATTTCCCATAGCTTCCAGAACAGTTTCTTTAAAAATGTGATTACATGGCCAGTACTCAGCTTTATATTTAAACTTCATATGAGAGCTTCATATCACAAGAACATATCGGTGAGATGATTCCTAGAGTTTTGGTATACTCACTGTATTCACATAAAGGACCGGTCCATCCATCCATACAGTCACACGTGTAGCTGTTGATTCCATCCATGCATGTTGCGCCGTTAAGACACGGTAAGCTTCCACACTCGTTGAAGTCTATTTGATAGTGAAAATATAAGAGAAGAGTGGGGTTGTTACAAGACAAGCACGCGCTTATTATTTACATCAGAGTTCACCTATTGGCTTGAGAGACAAAAACTATAAGCCAAGATTCAGGTATTATATGTAAAGCTATTTAGCCAATTACATAATGTAACAGCTCAAATGTTCGACAATCCTGTGAGTCATTCGACTGATCCCCATAGATTAAACTGAATGTTGACAGACCCACACACACACACACACACACGCACACATATAACACACATATATATATATATATATACATATATATTGTCTAGCAGTAAGTAACTAGAAATTATCATATTCCTAGTATCTTTACATGCAGTATATCAAAGAAAACACACATGCATACACCAAACATACTTACTTATTTGACAGTTTTCTCCGACGAATCCAGGCTCGCAAGTACAACTGTAATCATTGATCCCATCCATACATGCTCCGCCATTCAAACACGGGCCATTAACACAGTCATCAATATCTAGGCGAAGAGAGCAGGAAAGTCACATTAGGTAAGGTAACTTATTTTTTGGTCGGATACGGTCTTCCATAAATCCATCCCAAATGACTGAAAACACATTATAAATCTTCACTATTCCACAATTTTTGTTTAAATCCATATAAATTAAGCACTACATATAATATCGGAACCTGTATTGTCCATGAATCATTTAAATTCAAGTATTTTATTCATTTCAAGTTGAAATAATATGCATTTTTACAAATAGATACGTATACAATACATCATAATTTAACATTCGATATGATATACATTTTTAAATAAATGCCTTAGACTTAAAAAGAACAAAAACTCCTCCACAAATATAATTTTTCACAAGAATGGATAAATATTAAGGCAAATGAGATCAAATAAATTAAAAATATCAGAACAATCATTCGTACAGCAAACCAATTTTTAAAAAGAAGGTTTATCGTGATCTTTCCTCAAACTATGTTGGCAAAATAACAAAATAACAAATTTACGCGGCGTGTAAAGTGTTCGTTCCAGAAAACCGTCAGAAAATTACATGTTGCTTTGTTTTTTGCTTAATTCTTTGGGTTTGTTCGTTTTCTTTGTTTGTTTGTTTTGGTAGGATCTATTTTTTCTGTAATTGATGTGAATGTATTATATTCATCACTTACCTAGGAAAATGTATTTTTGGTTTCATATTACTCAAAGCTTTGTTGGAGGCTATTTGTTTTCAATAACTTACAATAGATAAGTAGAAAATTTAGCTTATTCTTAAGACGACTTATTTCTGTATACACCATGTGATTTCATACGTCTAAATGTATAACATTGTTAATATGTTGATGTATAATAAACATCAAATCAGATCAAATGTTATATGAACAGTAGCGAGCCAATACAGGTCATCTAATACAAGGAATGCTGGTATAACCAGCTGTCCCCTATACTGATATTTTTGCGCAATAATCTTACGCTGAATCCCATAATGATCTATTAAAAGGGTTTGGATGGAGTGATGTTGACGTACACCACAGGATTAAAAGAAATATTCTGCAGAAGTCTAAGTATATTGGTTCATTCACTTGAATCTCAATCTAAGGGTTGAGGGTTCGAATCCAAGCCCGATACTAACATCGTTCGGCGAGGCATTAATTCACATTCGCCACTCTCCACTCAGGTGTAAGTGGGTACCTGACAATTGATGGTAATAATAGTCTTGTACGGCCCCAGCTAGAACAGCTTTTATGCTGATAAGGCTGCCATGGACAAACAAATTTTGATAATTTTATCATTATTATTGTTGTTATGATTAATATTGTGATCATTATTATTATTATTGCTATTATTATTATAAGTATTATTATTATTGCTATTAATATTATTATTTTATTATAAGTATTATTATTATTGTTATCATTTTTATTATTATCATATTATGATGATCATCATTAATATTGTTATCAATATCATTATTAATATTACTTTAAGCAATCTTTGTATTAATATGGTTTTTAAGTAAAACAAAATTGGTACATACTGTTTTCGCAGTGGGTTCCGTCGAAACCGGTGCCTGTGCATAAGCAGAAATAATAATTGTTGACCCCGTCCACGCAAACACCACCATTTTGACACGGTGCACTCATACACTCGTTGATGTCTGGAACAGATCAAGAGAAGAAGGACATGAAATCGGTCTCTTGGTTCATGATTAGATATATGCAGAATTTGCTTCTTCTTTGTCATTCGAAAGCCTTGCACATACACACAACTCGGAAATCTATGCAGATCCGGCTATATTGGTACATATTTACTTTATTCTGCAAAAAAGTAAATACTGCACAAATATTTCTCATTTTCACTGTGATTTTCAGGAAGATGGTACTAAATACTTTATTCTGACTTTGAGGATTCCGTTATATTAGACCTCAATGAAAAAGTGTGAATTAAGAATGTAAGAACAAAAAAAACACAGTTTTCATAGTTTCATTAAGATACTCAAAGCTATCCCTTTTCATATTTTGAATATATGGGCATTTGAAGAGTCACCCTTGTCAGTCAGAGGACATTTGCTCTATGTCATCTTTCCATACTAACATAAAAAGAATGAAGAAATAAACTCACAAATTAATCTTCACATTTCCCTGAACTTAACTATCTATTTGAAGTGAAAGTCGTAGTAAATTTTCAAATATCAAAGGAGGAAACACTCACTCGTTTCACAATTGTCGCCCTCATATCCTGCTGCACAGGTACATGTGTACATTGCACTCTGATCGGTACACGTACCTTCGTTCTCACAAGGGTTGGAAAGACACTCGTTAATATCTGGATAGTGAAAAGAAGTGAAACAAAATGTAAACATTAGTAATGCTGAACATTTCACCCTAAACGTTTTCCAGCTTGAGGGTTGGTATCTAATTGGTTATTCTTGAAGATACACAATGGTATAATATGTGTCAAACTAATGATCACTTTTGACAAGAATATGCACAATATTCCTCACACGGGGGAAACGAGAATTTCGCAAGTTTTTTGTATTGTTTATTTGTTGTTGTAGCATTTTTTAATTTTTTATGTACATATCTATTAATATGATTATTTGAGAAGGGGCGGTCGCACAATCGTCAATGTCTAACATGACAATATCCTAGCCAAGAAACAAACTGGTGTGTCGTAAATGAAATCTGTGAAGGCCTGAAAATGTTATTATATATTCTCTTGAACAAAATTCATGTCTATGTCTTTTTAAAATTTCCTTTCCAAAAAGACCTGAATATTAAAAACCTAATTTAGGCCAATATTGTTCAACAGTAAATTAAAATATCCAAAATATGATTCGAATGACGCCTAAATATGAATTTTGAACTAATACAGTCAAGTGTTTGTTACGCTGTCACTTCTACCCTTATGATCCAAGAGTTTTGTCCTTCGGCAAAAGCCAGAAAGTTGCTTCTATGAGGATTCATTACTTCAATTTTAAATACTTAAAGAACAAAAAAAAAAACGGTTTAAAAAATAAGTTGGCATGGGGCAAGTAAATGAAATCACGGGGGAGAAAAAAGAAAGAATTACTTTTCACCTCACTTCTACTTAGTTCTGTTCTAATACAGTATGAACTTAAATTAAAAAAATATGACACAAGAGAGGCTTTATTTATACAAGAAATATGCAGACGCTTTCCAAAATATTCATAACTTAAAGTTTAAGATTTGATGAATATCTTTCTACCTTACCACATAATCCAAATTTTGTTGTTGTTATTTGACCTGGTTAATCTTATCAGTTATCTGCCTCTTGATTCTTTGAATTCTCTAGTAGCATGTAGTCTTATCATATTCAAACAAATCTTTAAAAACGATATGTACGACATATTGTTGTATTCAGCTCTCACCTCTTTCACAGTGATCGCCCGTGTATCCTGCTGCACAGATACATGTGTACATGTTAGTTTCATCTAAACACGTTCCGTCGTTCTGGCAGGGCTGAGAACCACATTCGTCAATATCTTGATAGTAAATAAAAAAAAATAGTAATAATACAAAGTGATATTCCGTATATCATGCAGTTTTAGAAGTAAGAGATAGAATGTCGGCTACGTGCATGACACGAGAAGTTATGTTTTCTTTGATAAGTATATGCACCACAGAGCAGTATGAAATACGATTATGATAATCTTTTGTTGTGCATCGAATAATGTTTCAGTTGAGGCAAGATTGGCTGATTTCATTTTGAATCTAAGGGACTTGTGTGACCCAACTATACCTAATTGTAATTTGTTCAAGTATCCGTGTGGATGAATGATGCTTAATCAGCATGCAAATAAACAAAGTATGTACTTATTCAATCGTTCGTTGTTACTACGCCCAGGTTATCGTTTTTGTAAGGTTTCGTTCAATATTTCACGAGAACGGTTCAACCATTTAATTTCATGGCAAAGAGAGAAAGAGAACAAAATTCAAAGAAGGTAGGTTATACGATCGGGGCATCCCAGTGAGCCATAACCAAGAAGGAAATTCGTTCAGGAAGGTTAGATAGGAGTGCAAAACCAGTGATGTATTCGTACATCGACTCATACATCTCCAGATCATGGTATGGTTCACGAATCCATCTTTTGGTTTATTTATTTATTTATTTATTTGACATATTTATACAGGATAAAAAAGAAACAATCGAGTCAGCAAAGCTGTTTTTCATCGATGTCCTGTTAACATGATTAAACATTTCCGCTTCTAACCAATGGGATTCTTTTCATTACATCAGTCACAAAATACACAAAATGTTTTAAAATGCAAGAAAAACACAATATTAGAAATTCGTTTGAAAGAAGTTAATGAATGACCAATCTTATTTGTTGAGTGAAAAAATAAAATAGCAACAATAAAGACGTTTATGAATCCCCATGGTTAGAATTAGATAACAAGTTCAAATACGAATACAATAATCCATATAAATATTATACATGAGAAAGCATCTAATATACAATATATAATAAATACATAAATATAAATATATTACATAAAATGAAATCGAAACAAACTGTGATCAACTATTATCATGATAATAGAGTACGGCGGGCCAGAACATGTAAAACTTAATTTTTTATTTCAGAAAAATGTGCGTTTATAATTATTTTTGAAAGAGGAAAGAGTATGATGATTTTGCATTTCATTTGAGAGAGAATTCCATGTTTTCGGGCCTGAATATCTAAACGATTGCTTGAATAATTCCGTATTTGGTTTTGGTAAGACCACATTGAGTGAGTCAGAATTTCGAGTGTTGAAACCATGTCTATCACAGAACATTTCAATATCATTACATAGTCTTACTGGAGCATTACCATGTATACATCGGAACATAAGCATATTAATAAAATAATCTCTCCTAGTTTCAAAAGTTTGCCATTTCAAATCTTTAAATAGTTTAGAGACGCTGATATCGCGTGAACCATAATGTTTCGACACTATACGGGAAGCTCTTTTCTGTATGCGACGAATATAATCACGGTATTTAAGTGAACAGTTTCCCCACACTGAGCATGCATAATCATTTAACACAGGATATGATATACATATAGACTTAAAGAAAGAATAAAATCTCCTTCACAAAAATAAGTTTACAAGAATGGATAAATATTCAGGCAAATGAGATCAAAATAATTATACATATCGGAATCATCAAACCAAGAGCAAACCAAGTTTGTTTCAAGAAGGTCTATTGAGATTTTTCTTTTTCCTCTAACTTTATTGGCAAAATATCTTTGATCACAATAAACCTGTGTAAAGTGTTTCTTCCAGAAATTCGTCAGAAAATTACATGTTGTTTTGTTTTTATTTAATTATTTGGGTTTTCTTTTTGTTTGTTTGTTTGATTGTTCTAGCAGGACCTCTTTTTTTCCTCTGATTGATGTAAATGCATTACATTTATCTCTTTCCCTAGAAAAAAAAAAGGATTTCTGATTTCATTATTGTTGCTATAATCAATCCTTTTATTGATATGGTTGTTAAGTAAAACAAATTTGTTACATACTGTTTTGGCATTGGGTTCCGTCGAACCCGGTGTTATAGCAGACACAGAAGTATTCGTTGATCCCGTCCACGCAATTACCACCATTTTGACACGGTGTACTCATACACTCGTTGATGTCTGGAACAGATCAAGAGAAGAAGGGCATGAAATCGGTCTCTTGGTTCATGATAAGATATATGCAGAATATGCTTCTTCTTTGTCATTCGAAAGCCTTGCACGTATACACAAATTCTCTAATCCGGCTAGATCCGGCTATATCGGTTATAAATAAAATGCATGTTTACAAATAGATACGTACAATGCATCATAATTGGACACAGGATATGATATTCATTTTTAATGAATGCCTTAGACTTAAAGAAAGAATAAAAACCCCTTCACAAAAAAAAGTTTACAAGAATGGATAAATATAAATAATAAATATTTTTGATCACAGAGGAGCAAATAGACTTGTGTAAAGTGTTCGTTTTAGAAAACCGTCTGAAAATTACATGTCGTTTCGTTTTTGTTTAATTATTTGGGTTTTCTTTTTGTTTGTTTGTTTGATTGTTCTAGTAGGACCTCTTTTTTCGTCTGATTGATGTAAATGCATTACATTTATCTCTTTCCCTAGAAAAAAAAAAAGGATTTCTGATTTCATTATTGTTGCTATAATCAATCCTTTTATTGATATGGTTGTTAAGTAAAACAAATTTGTTACATACTGTTGTCGCAGTGGGTTCCGTCGAACCCGGTGTTTGTACAGACACAAGTGTATTCGTTGATCCCATCCACGCAATTACCATATTGACACGGTGCACTCATACACTCGTTGATGTCTGGAACAGATCAAGAGAAGAAGGACATGAAATCGGTCTCTTGGTTCATGATAAGATATATGCAGAATATGTTTCTTCTTTGTCATTCGAAAGCCTTGCACGTATACACAACTTCTCTACTCCGGCTAGATCTGGCTATATATTGGTGATATATTTACTTTATTCTGCAAAAAAAGTAAATACTGCACAAATATCTTTCCTTTTTACTGTGATTTTCAGGAAGATTGTACTAGATACTTTGTTCTGACTTTGAGGATTCCGTTATATCGACCAAAATGAAAAAGGATGAATTAGGAATATAAGAGCAAAAAATACAGTTTTCATAGTTTTTTGTTTTGTTTATTTCTTGTTGTAGCATTTATTTATTTCTATCAATATGTATATTTGGGAAGGGGCGGTCGCACAATCGTCGATATCTAACCCGACAATATCCTAGCTAACAAACAAAACTGAGAAACATAATTATAAACAAACGGCTTTATCGTAAATGAAATCTGTGAAGGCCTGAAAATGTTATTATATATTCTCTTGAACAAAAATCATGTCTTTTTTAAATTTCCTTTCTAAAAAAAACATGAATATGAAATAACTAATGTAGGCCAATATTGTTTAAAGTTAAATCAAACTGTCCAAAATATGATTGGGATGGCGCCTAAATATGAATTTTGAACTAGTACAGTAAAGTGTTTATTACACTGTCACTTCCAGGCGCGGATCCATGGGCCGATTCTAACGGCCGGCCCCCCCCCTAGCCTCCGAAACCGGTAAAAAAAAAAAGGATAGTAACGTAAATTCTACCTTAAAAAACAAAAAACAAAAAACGCCCCCCCCCTGACCTGCCAGTGACACAAATGCGGCATTAAAATATTTGTTCTTCTCTGACCGTAATTAAATGCCTAAAACCCCTGAGCTTCCTGGGGCTCCGCCCCCTGAACCCCCACACCAATTTACGCTCGCTTCGCTCTACCTGATCGTAAATACTTTAGCCCCCCCCCCCACTTTGATAAACGTTCCGCGGGGCCTGTGTATATATATACGCATACAACACTGGTCTTTATGATGTCTTTAACGTGACATATCTTCTTCTCCCCTTGCAAACGAGAAAGAAAACAAGGTCATTAAAGGGATTAAGCGACAAATAGAGATTGTGTTGTTTGAATAAGCACTGCTATCCTACAGAATCTTCTTTGTAAAAACAACTTTTACAAATCTCAGCCATGCTTACTGAGTTGAGACGTTCCATTCAATTTAAAATACTCATCAAAGAATACACTTCTCCTAATCTGAAAGTGATCTTACAACACAGTGGCAGATTTGCATGGCTGAGATTTGTAAAAGTCTTTTTACAAAGAAGATTCTGGTGAAAAGCATTGCTTATTCAAAAAAATTCTTGCATCAATTTGAATCACAATGATCATTTTGTCGCATGATCCTTTTATTAAATAACCTTGTTTTCTTTTTTATTTGCAGGGGGAGAAGAAGCTATGTCACGTTAAGAAATCATAAAGATCAGTTGTATTTATTCTTTTTTAAATTTATTTATTTATTTCCACATGTGGGGTGGATTGCCCTTTCAACTTAAGTTGATTTTCAAAGGGGTATATACCTATGATGGCAGAACAAAATGTTGATTATCAGAATGTCATTTGGGAATACCTCTATACAAATACCCGATCTTACTGTGCCGATACCACATTGTCTTTAGCCCGTATCAGTATTAGTATGAGCCAATATAAAGTTATTATTCTTTATTCAGGTTAGTATAATGCTTTTCCTCAAAAATAGTTTCGCTATTTATTTGGGAGACACGTAAAGAAATGGTTTCAAATGTACATTACACAAACCCTGAACCATTGCATAATGATGGTGGTTCTCTCTCTCTCTCTCTCTCTCTCTCTCTATTTATTTTAATCATGCATTATCAACTACATATAAAGCAGCAACAACAACCTTAGGGTTATCTGGGATAGGTGAAAGTGAGAGTTAAAAAGAAAGTCATGCTAAAACGGCGCTCAGGGGCGTCGCTAGACCTTTTTTAGTTGGGGGTGGGGGGGGGGGGGGTGTAGAGGCTAACGGTTACCGACAAAACTAGCCACCAATTACCGACAAAATTAAATGTCCAAATATCTGCAAATTCAACCCTATTAACCCGGGGCCGAAGTCTAAATTGTGTTTCCTATGGACTATCTATAATACTTGCGTATGTGCAAATGGTCATTTTCCTCGACGACATAAATATACGAATGATTTAATCAACTTGGTCAGCATCATTTTATGGAGGGGCGGTAGTGAGCAAGCGAATTTTTAGCGTTTCATCAAAATATAGAGAAAGGAAAACGATTCGTCGTACTGTTGTAGACTCTTAATCCTTGTTTGAATTTAGTTCTCCGAAAATGTTAAAAAGTAAAATAAGTAAAAAAGTTTAAAAAAAAAAAGGTTTAGCATGTTACAGGTGGAGGGAGGAAATGCAATGGCCAAGGTTTTCTGACGTTGTCTCCAAGGTAGCTTTTTAAGCTACACATGCAGGACAATCTTTTTGATGAGCCATGCCACAAAGCTCATACTGAGAGTTCTCCTAATGAGAGTAAGCAGGGCTCCCACTTAGCCGAGTTGTATTAGCGAGTTATGGCGAGTTGTGGTGAATTGCCTCAAAGAGGCACTCACAATAACTTGCGAACAATTCGGTATGGCTTAGCGTAACTCTTTACAACCATTCCACGACTCTCCTCGAAGTCGTGAGCAGTTCCAAAATTGTGAACATGTTCAAAAAAATTCCCCGATTCGTTGTAATTCGAGGTGAACTCGCCTACACTCGTAATATACACGCATTACTTGTAACAAGCTCGCGCTGCACTCTTCATAAGGTGGCTAGTTGCTACGAGTATATTACGAGTGTTAAGCAAGTTCACCTCGAGCTACAACGAATCAGCGAAAATTTTGAACACGTTCAACATTTTCACTGATTCGTTGTTACTCTAGGTGAATTCGTTGTTACTCGAGTTGAACTCGCGTACACTCGTAATATACTCGCATTACTCGTAACAAGCTCGCGCTGCACTCTTCATAAGGTGGCTAGTTGCTACGATCGAGTTATGAATAGTGCAGCGCGAGCTAGTTACGAGTAATGCGAGAATATTACGAGTGTAATATACTCGTAGCAACTAGCCACCTTATGAAGAGTGCAGCGCGAGCTTGTTACAAGTAATGCGTGTATATTACGAGTGTAGGCGAGTTCACCTCGAATTACAACGAATCGGGGAAATTTTGTGAACATGTTCAAAATTTTGGAACTGCTCGTGGCTTCGAGGAGAGTCTTAGAATGTTGTAAAGAGTTACGCTAAGCCATACCGAATTGTTCGCGAGTTATTGCGAGTGCCTCTTTGAGGCAACTCACCACAACTCGCCATAACTCGCTAATACAACTCGGCTAAGTGGGAGCCCTGCTAAGATCAAAGATTCGACAAGAGATATCAGAAGTGCAGTATGATCAGTGGCGGATCCAGGGTGGGGGGGGGGGGGGGCCCGGGGGACTGGCCCCCCCCCCCCCCTTGAGAAAAAAAATCATGTAAAATCACGTGATTTTTACCTTTTTTGGGGGGTGCAAATTGAAAAAAATTTGAGGATCAAAAAAAAAAAAAATGTGCTCACTCACTGTCTTCCTCAGGTTAAATGACAGCTAGGCCCAGTTATTCAATTTCATGTAAGATATTTCACGCATTTTCATTTCGCTGTATAGTGAGGTGACAATGCGTGATATATCTGACATGAAGGGTATTATAGTTGACGGCCAGAACGTAAACAACCTGCTATGCCAATGATGCCGTCCTAGCTAGAGGAAGCAGGTATAAGTTGCACGCACTACTGAATAAGGTAGCCATCGAAAGTGAAATCCTGGGCTAGCTGTCATTCATCCTGAAAAGGATAGAATGTTTGGTAGTTTCCAAGAAGAAAGATGAGACCAGTTGTAATTTTCACTCGCGTGGAAAAGAGGTAAAACAAGTATTTAAAAAAATCCCACCTTATAATTTTGATAACCTCAGATGGTAGGAGTGATGCAGAAGTAATGAAATGAATCGCACTTGCAAAGGTGTCATTTGCAACAAAATGGAAAATGTGATAAGGAATCGAAATATAAAAGTGACCACTAAAATCCGGATACTGAAGTGCTATGTATGTACGGTTGCGAGAGCTGGACATGACAGAAATCCTTGGAAAGCAGACTTAAAGCAGCAAAGGTGTCATTTACATGATTACATTGATAGCTTTCTTCATTGCGACGAAGAAGGAACATTTTACATTTGAGAGACTGCTCTTAGATAATTGTATTACTGTTCGGAAAGGCGGCTTAATGTTGGATAGCGAGATAATGACATGCAGTGGTGGAAATAAGTGGCTGAAAACTCGTCCCCTAGTAGTCGTGTTTTGGGTCGCTGGGCATGTCTGCAAAATTTCATGACAAACAAGCATCCCCAATAAAAAAATAAAAATAAAAAAATAAATAAATAGAGAACTGCATTAATAAATACAGTGACCCCAAGTCTAGCTTGACTGTTCCCTGTTGCTTCTTGTAAGAATTAAATTGACCTACTAATTAGACACATAAGGTCAGTCCATCCAGGAGCACACAGGCAACTGTATTCGTTGATTCTGTCAGTACACGTTCCACCATTAAAACAATGATCACTAGCACATCCGTCAATATCTGTAGAGAAAGCCAAATGTAGATTTATTTATTCAACCATTTAATTTCATGGCAAAGAGAGAGAAAAACAAAGAAGGTAGGAAATACAATCGGGGCATCCCAGTGATAGCCATAACCAAGAAGGACATTCGTTCAGGAAAGTTGGATAGGAATTGTAGGTCCGCGAGTGCAAAACAAGTGATGTATTCGCACCTTTCCTTAAGTCTTGAACACGACTCATACATCTCCAGATCATGGTATGGTTCACGAAACTTTTGGTTGCTACCATGTCAAGTAGTACCCACCCCCTCCTTTCAGCATAAGTCCGGTGTGTAAAGTCAAGACGGGTAGATCTTTTTCTTTGTTACGAGCCTTTTCAGGACACCCCCCCCCCCTTTCAGCATAAGTCCGGTGTGTAAAGTCAATACACACTAAGAAAAAATGGTGCAAGTATGCACCTTTAGGGGTGCAAACCGATGCAACACTGGCAGCACCTTTAGGGGTTATTTCCTGCACCCTTTTAGGAGACATGTTAGTACCCTTAATGTTTCAATCCTGCTCGATTTGGGATGCAAACAGAGGCAATAGCAGCACCTTTAGGGGTTCAATTTGCACCATTTAAAAGGTGCAATCCTGCACCCATACTCGAGGAATACTCTTGGAATCTGCTCGTACACAAATACATATTAAACACGCATGTTGTTTCTTGGTTATTATAATCAATATATATATTGCTAAAACGTGAATGTAATTGTAACATGATCAGACAAAAGAATCTATTGGTTAATGATTGCCGAAGGAAAATGCAAATCACAAATTGATGTGCATTGTAATAATTTGCTTAACAAATCATGATTTATGTAGTTTTATGTGAACACGTGTAAAGTAATATGCATGCAATATGCAAACTTTTATTTTGTACTCTTTTTTGATCGATAGGGTTCATTTTTGTGGGAAGGGTGCACAATCTTATATTGCACCCTTTTTTGAACCCCTTTTCCTTCAATAGGGTTCATTTTTATTTGCACCGTTCTTTCTTAGAGTGTACGGGTAGATCTTTTTCTTTGTAACGAGCCTTTTTAGCATACCCCCCCCCTTTCAGCATAAGTCCGGTTTGTAAAGTCAATACGGGCAGATATTTTTCTTTGTTACGAGCCGGCGATTTTGGGAACATGAATGCGGTCCCTCCGTTCCCGAAGTGGGGGGGGGGGGGAGTAGTACATGTAAAACGTAAATTTACACTGATATCTATGTGATTTTGTCTCTTCAAATCTATTCGCGATAACGAAAAATAAAACCCCGAGCGAAATGTAAAAGGGAGAATGCAAACTGAAAAGCAGATGTCCGTTCAGATATAGCCCTTTTCTACACCACCGTATTTTAGTGATTTTTGTATACAGACGTGTATCAATCGGATATGATAATATATTTCTCATTCAATCGCTGAAGAGGTTCATCTGTTTGGTGATGTAACTTAAAAGTTATTTCTTTCTTTATAGTTCAGCTTTTGAAGCATTTCATAGTCATGGTAATACATAAAGCATTATGAAAAGGATGCCAATTAAATTCCTAATGATTTGAGATAGACAAAAGATAGCTGATGAATATAATAGTAAATGTATAATATTTATCACTTTCCCTAGGAAAAAGTTTTTTTGATTTCATTAAAAAATAATAAATAATAATAGTTCGTCCTTATTTAGCGCATTTCAGGACCGCAGGCACTCTCAATGCGCTTTGCAGATATATATTATTACCCCGGTCATATGGATTAATGCTCACCCGACACAAGGTATGCACATTCTCCACTCCCTGGGGAGCATTCCAGCCAGTCGCCATTGTAAAAGCGCCATTGCTAATCAAACCACATTAGCTTTCGCATCCTACCGGGTACCCATTTAACACCCGGTTGGAGAGTGGCAAATGTAGATCAATGTCTTGCCAAAGGACATTAGTGCCGCGGTGGGACTTGAACCGCGGAACTTGTGATCCACAGTCCGCTGACATATACACTCAACCACGATCCTTTTATTGATTTGGTTTTTAAAGAAAAACAAAGTTTCGTAATGTTTTGGCATTCAGGTCCGTCGAAACCGGTGCCTGTGCAGAAACACGCGTATATGTTGACCCCATCCGCGCAAAGACCACCATTTTGACACGGTGTACTCATACACTCATTGATGTCTGGAACAGATCAAGAGAAGAAGGACATAAAATCGGTCACTTGGTTAAATAAAAAAAGGGTCATGATAGGATATGCAGAATATGCTTCTTTCCATTCGAAAGCCTTGCACATTCACACAACTTCTTTTCTTCTTAGAAATCTATGCAGATCCGGCTATATTGGTAATATTTTTTAAAACTTTATTCTGCAAAAGACTTTAAAATTCTAAATACTGCACGAATATCTTTTCTTCTCACTGTGAATTTCCGAAAGATGGTAATAAATACTTTCTTCTGACTTTTTGAGAATTTCGTTATATCAGACCACAATTTATTCCTATGTACGTTGTAAAAAAAGGATGAATTAAGAATGTAAGAGCAAAAACATACAGTTTTCATAGTTTCATGAAGATACTCAAAAGCTAACACTTTTCGAATATGAATATATGAGCATTTGAAGAGTCACCCTTGTCAGTCAGAGGAAATTTGCTATATGACATCTTCCCATACTATCAGAAAAAGAATGAAAAAAAAAACATAAATTACTTTTCACTTTTCCCTGAACTCAACTATTTATTTGAACTGAAAGTCGGAGTAAATCCTCAAATATCAAAGGAGGAAACACTTACTTGTTTGACATTCGTCGCCCGTGTATCCTGCTTCACATGTACATGTGTACATGTTAGTTTCATCTGTACATGTACCTCCGTTCTTACAAGGGTTGGAAAGACACTCGTTAATATCTGGATAGTGAAAAGAAGTGAAACAAAATGTAAAAATCAGTAATGCTGAACATTTCACCCTAAACGTTTTCCAGCTTGAGGGTTGGTATCTAATTGGTTATTCTTGAATATACACAATTGTATAATATGTGTCAAACTAATGATCACTTTTGACAAGAATATGCACAATATTCTTCACTCCGGGAAAACGAGAATTTTGCATTTTTTTGTTTTGTTTATTTGTTGTTGTAGCATTTTTTTTGTACCTATCTATCAATATGTTTATTTGAGAAGGGGCGGTCGCACAATCGTTGATGTCTAACATGAACATATTCTAGCCAACAAACAAAACTAAGAAACATAATTATAAACAAACTGTGCATCTAATAATGTTTCAGTTGAGGCAAGATTGGCCTGATTTTATGTTGCATGAAATGGACTTGTGTGTCCCAACTACAACTATACCTATTTTTCAGGTATCCGATTGGATGAATGATGCTTTAAGGGATCGTTTAACAATGTTAAATCTGAGATGCACGGCCCCCTCATGTTATTAGTGTCGGTGATATGGTGTTATATTAAAATCCTTAAAAATAAAAAAAAAGCGCTTCAAAATGATCAAGAAGTGCCTTAAAAAAGTAAAAACCTTTGAGTGACTGGTTCTACCATACTCGTTTTCCCAAATAGAATGTAGTGTTATGAAAACCGTTTGGCAAATGCAAAATTTGATTTCGATTTTCAATCATAAATATCTTGATAATTAGACGGGCGATCGGCTTGTTAAAGTCATGGGGTTACTGACTAACCTAAAGGTTTATAATTATCATTGCAGCATCCTTTAAAGGATCTAAGACAAATTTACCGGAACCCTTTAAATCACCATACAAATAAATAAAGTATATACTAGTTTAATCGTTCGTTGTTACTACGTCCAGGCTCTCGTTGTATGTAGGGTTCCGTTCAATATTTCACAAGAACGGTTCACGGGTTTTCAGCATTTCTTCAGAGCAACTTGTTATCACGATTGGATTTCCCTTTACTGTACCCAAGTGGGCAAACCATCAGAGTGGAGTTTAATACGGAAAAGTTCGCATTTTGTTATTTTTTCAACAACAACAAAAAACACCATAAAACTTGTCAAAGATCACCATATACTTCAGCAAGAACGCGTATAAACCAGAAATGTCATAAGGCCCAGAACGCATTCATGTGGAAAAAAAAAATCTTTATGAATGACCTGCCCAACAGCGTTGAACATAGTAAGGTGATATTGTATGCCGATGATACAGCGATTATGTTCAGTGCCTTAAACCCAAAGGACATAGAGAGTACATTGAATAGTGATCTAGACAGGTTTAAATCATGGCTATTTACCATAATAAACTATCCCTTAATACGGACAAGACCAACTTCTTACTTGTAGGGACACCCCAAAAAGTACGACATATCGAGGCACCAATCGACATAAAGATAGATGGTCTGCAAATTAGACAGGTAGAAAATGTGAAAAATCTTGGGGTGTGGTTGGACCAGCACCTTAACTGGAATGAACACATGAAGCATACTTCCATCAAAGTTGCTTCAAGGTTGGCATTGTTGAGACGTGTCAGAAAATATCTGACGATAGACAGTGCCAAGTTATAAGCAAATGCACTGGTATTACCATATTTTGATTATTGCTGCACCTCATGGTCAAATTGTAATCAAGGTCTTCGGGATACACTGATTAAATTGCATAAACAGATGGCTAGGATTGTTCTCCAAATGAATGTACTTACACCAAGTTCAGAAATGTTCTCAAAACTCAAGTGGATGAACATGGAAAAACGTTGGCAATTCAAGAAATGTAAACTTATGTTCGATATTGTAAACGTTATTTCCCCCTCATATCTTCAAGATATGTTTACTCAGTCTGCAGCAACACATCGCTATAGCACTAGAATCGCTGATACTCGTGGATTAGTCATCCCCAAAGTTAAAACTGGAAATGGTAGAAGGGCCTTTTCCTTTGAGGGTGCAATGACATGGAACAACCTTCCTAGTGAGGTACGAAATGCACAAACTAAGAAGTCATTTTGCACCAGTTATTTTAGAAAAATGTAAATATAACCCAAGTACTCGCAAATAAGTAGCCTCTATCACAAACTGCAATATTTAGTAAATTACCAATTACAGGTCACTGCATTTTTCATAAATATCCCACAAATTACAAATAATTATAATATTTTTTTCTTCTTCAAAATTTGTTTATGTATGATTTGCTTGATGATTTGATTTTTTTTTTACTTGATTTTTGTTGTGGATTTTTTTTTTTTTTTTTTTTTTACTTGCTTAGTTTAAATTTACATTTGAGATTTAATCTGTAATTCTTTCTGGTATGTTTACTACTCACCATGTGATGATGTTTTCATGTATATGTATGTCTATATATGGATTTTATGTTGTGCAGGGCCCCCAAGAATAACATATTTGTAACTACTGATTGTGCTACCCTGTTGAAATAAAACGAAGTAAATAAATAAATAAAAAAATTAATAAATGTACATTAAAGATTTTTTAAAAGACGAAGGAATTCGTATCGTTTAACATAACGTGAAATTATCAAAATAAATTTACATTATTAATATTAATATTGGGAATACATTCACGGGCCCTGCATGGATCAAAGAACCATCCTCATTTCACCAATAAGGATAAAAACTATAGAAACTAATCGTTTACAAAAATTTATGCGGAAAAAAAAATTATCGAGAAGTTTTCTTACCAGCCGTATAAGAAATGCGATAACCCGGATGGGCTACGTTTTTGTCCGAGTAGAAGAAGAAGAAGATTTGGTTTGTGTCGTTGAATACATATGTCCTTTCGCTCAGAGGTAAGCTTGTGCGGTTTCCACCAAGTTCATAAATGTCCGGTTGATTGGGATCTATTTCATAGATTTTGGGACCTTTTCCAAAAAGGAGGGAATCCATGAGCGGTGGTTCTAAATCGAATTCCTCTAGGATGAGCGTGATTTGTGTTGCATCTGCGATTTTCAGATGAGAGTAGCAATCTTGACGAACTTGGTAAACATTTGGGTAACCGGGACTCGTGATATTCCCTTCACTGTCGTAATAATTCATATTGCATCCAGCGCTCCCTGCGAAGAATTTAAACGAAATATTAAAAAAAGGGATATAATATATACAGGCAACTGGCAACTGATGACGTACGCTATCTCTGTGTCAAGCTTTCGTCCTCATCAGACTTTTTCAGAAAGTTCTTAAAGACCCTATCCGATAAAAATACAACTTAATTTAAATGAACAACTGAATGAATGTAGAATACAAATACATGTATAAAGGAATACAAAGTATTATCCCTTTCATTAATGCACACAAGCAAATTAAAAACCTCATTTTTGCACTCCTTCCCAATAACGGATCAACAGGGGTCAATTTGCCGAAGTTACAGAGACGACATAACATGTGGACTCGATCGGTTCACCTTATATATAAAGCTGAGGCGACGAGCCGTGCTTAATTAATGCAAAGTCATTGTGAATATGCTCCACATTAAGATGATGTCATCAAATCGACAGCAGGATTTTAGGTCTTTCAAATATTTAGATTTAGATTTTTCAGAAAGCTGGGACATTTTACATACTCCTCTAACATGGCATATAATTGATAGTATTTTCATCAATGGCTTATATGCTTTCCGTTGATACATAATTCATCCATTTCATAGTTCAATTCGGATATGGTCGTTAAGTTAATTCAAGAACCTTTCTCTCCGCACTTCTACTTGTGGAGATTGTGTGCAATCCTGTCATGCTCGGGGTGGGAGATGACAATCTTCAAGTAGGCCACCCTGTTTCAAATAATTAAATCGATATTTAGCAAAAAGTTACTACTCTTAGGTTTAAGGCTACAGATATCGCAAGAAAACTACTGACCCTTACTAGGTATTTCTGAGTATTTTCTTACCAATATATGATTCATCACAGTTCTGTCCAGAGTAAACAGTTTCAGCTGATGTTGAAACAGGAACAACTGGACATTGACAGTAGTATCCCAAAGTAGCATTGACACAAGGAGCATTCTCTAGACAAGGATCCAAGGAACAGTCTGTGAATGCAAAGTAAAAGGTCATTAAATATTATATATATATATATATATATATATATATATATACATGTATATTTAAAATCTTTAAAAAAAAATATCAATGTTTAATTGGATCAATTAAATTACAGTCATAACATGGAATTGACGAATGCTTATGAACCAAAATACAACTGTTATCATGAAAACAATCAAGTGACAGAAAGTACGAAATAAATAAACTACGAATATGAATAGGCAACTATTAAACAGGTCCGAAACTAACATTGGTGGGAAATAGTGGGAATAAAACTCAACGGACCCCAGACGACACCATCACGAACAAATCGACCGGTCAAGACTGGGTCAAATTTCTTATCGTTTTGATGATTCCAGAACCTTGCAGTACACACTAATACTTATATGTTAGAAGATCAACCTTTTCTGATCGATTCCACAACGTTTTTTTCACAATGCAATCGCATGATCAGAAGTCAACTTTAAACTTTAAACTACAGAATGTTCGGGGGCTAGGCGCACTGCACTTAGTAATTGATAAAAGCAGGTTCTCTGTAAAATGACTACAATCATACATCCGCCTTAATAAATAGGTGCAACTGTTAATCAATAGTAAAGAAATAAGAAAGGAAATATGATTAGGTGTAAGAATGTAATGTTATGTTTGAAACTTTACGGCCCGAATTCACAAAGCAAGGTTTGAGCTCAAACCTCCTTTTGTTTCGCCAAACCTCCTTTTGTTCTTTACAAACCAGGTTTGTAAAAAACGCGTAAAACGCGTCATATGAAGTACGAAAACCAAGGTTTGTCGACAAACCTCCTTTGTGAATTCGGGCCTACGGGTGTGACAACTGTCATCCTCTACCAACCATTTGAAACTGTGCATAGAGTTCGAAGTTGAAACGTGGTCCAAGTTTGAATAACTCATAATTCATTGTTTGTCTCATTGTAAACTATGCATGATGCAAACAGGAGTAGACATGCGGTGTGAAATACTTAGTAGAATGCAAAAAAGAGACCAGCCCAAATTAAAGAAAACCCCTGATCAACGATGGAAAATATAATTTTAATTATGCAAACAAAAGACTGGATATCGCAAACACTAAAAACAAATAACTGTATATGGTGCGTTTGTGCTCTTGGCCGCACCGGACAAGATATCATATCATTCTGGGCCGTATGTGCCTATAGTGACCAAAACTGAATGTTTTGTTTTACCTTCGAAAGGTTTCTTGACTAATTCTGGTAGATGATTTGGAGGTTGACCAAACTGGATAATTTCAGAAATACTAAAAAGATATGTCTCATAATTTGTAAGTACTTAGACATGTATTAGAGATCCACTTAGATTCGATGCTCTTTAATGGATGATATAAGTGTTTCCTTTCTGATACAATGTGCCCTTCTGCTTTGGAATACATGGTATCAAGGTCTAGTGGATACGTCACTGGACTGTGGGTTCGCAGTTCAAGTCCCGCCGCGACTCTAATGTACTTCTGCAAGACATAAATCGACATTTTCCACTCTCCACCCAGGTGAGAGAAAACAAAATCTTAGTCCAGAGTGGATCTCTAATACAATTCTAAATACTAACGACTTCCGAGATATATTCATTGAATTCTTTAGCGCCTTATTATGGTAGCTCAGCTGCAGTCTGAGTAATAATATGATAATTTGTAATAAGCGCAGTAGAGTGTATTTATTTAGAAGCTGCGTTATATAAATAATAAACCTATTATTATTAGTATTACTTATACTCGAGTCAAGATTACTCGTTTCTCAGAATTCTGTTTCTCAATAGACCTGTAGTCAGTAGCCGTTCTGTATTTTCTTACAATTTTCTAGAGGCGGGATGTTTGGTGTAATAAAGTGTCACCAGAACCGCAATTCCATACAAATGCTTACCCCTGCCCCCTTCCCCATATCACCATCGTTACCATCACTTTTTCCTTCTTCTTCTCTTTAATTTCTTATTTTTCTTCTTCTTCTTCTCCTTCTTCTTCTTCTGCTTCTTCTTCTTCTTTTTCTCCTCATCCTTTTTCTTCCCCACATGAGTCTTCTTTTCCTCCTCTCTTTCATCACCTACCATCAGCACCACCCCCTTCACCACTACCCCACCATCACCAGCATCACATTCATCATTACGTCAACCATAGAGGACAACATCGAATTGTGTGTGAAACTATTACGGTTTTACTTCTAGATTTTCAAATTACAGGAAGCAGTGTGGTAATACTTGCCTTCACAAAAGCCAGATGATGCAATTGTCGCCAAGAGCATGACGACAATTTTCCAGGACGACATCATCATGAAAGGTGTTCTTGATCAAATTTCGTCTGAGAAAAGAGACACGTCACTTTCTTCAGGTTCTTCAAAACAAGACTAAATATATCTGTAGAACGAGTCTTCTCCGGTACTAAAAGAGAATACGGTAACGCCTTCCTCTTTGCTCGGCAGCCCAACGTGGGAATGGTGTGAATCCGCCCAGCTTAGACCCACTTTTCAAGTTTGGAGTCAATGGACCCGAAACATCGAGGGGTGTCGCCCCGAAATACTCTGACTCGTGGGCGCATGTCCTGATTTCGTTTACCTTTGTACACCAATGTTCATGGTAAGTGGGTTATCACTATGCGATTTTCAGTTACAATTACTCCTTTTTTGTTGAAATTCCAGAATGAAAAAAAAAAGCTCAATATAGTCGTGACAAGATGGATACTGATCAGCTTGTAATCTGAATTTGTGCTTTGCCAATACATGAGTATTGTATTCGACTGTATTTACTATAGGCCGTGGTGAAATGCAGCATATCGTAAAAACTACCCTTGCTGGGAATTACTGGGACCTATTAGTAAATAGATTTGATGGTATATTTATTAGTAATTCATAGATTTATTAGAACAAATCGAATCGAATCAACTCGTTATTGTTGGAAATAATTCAGGACTCAAATTAAACTGTGAGCTAATAAAGAATCTTATTTTGATTTGTTTTTATTTAGTTTGTTACGTTGTCAAAAGAAGTAGTGAATAAGATTTTTAGAAATAACTCTTTGGGATATACCCCCTAGCCTTTCAAAGTTTTACTTCATATTAGATAAGTTCCCTTTTCACTGTAGGAGGAAATGCTTGTGAAAACAAATCAACAGGGCTTACATTCTTTGGGATTACACCGGGTGAATATGAGATATTAATTCATATTTAATCTGACAAATCAACAGAGCTTACATTCTTTGGGATTACACTGAGTGAATGTGAGATATTAATTCATATCTAATCTGACAAATCAACAGGGCTTACATTCTTTAGGATTACACTTAATGAATGTGAGATATTAATTCATATCTAATCTGATAAATCAACAGAGCTTACATTCTTTGGGATTACACTGAGTGAATGTGAGATATTAATTCATATCTAATCTGACAAATCAACAGAGCTTACATTCTTTGGGATTACACTGAGTGAATGTGAGATATTAATTCATATCTAATCTGACAAATCAACAGGGCTTACATTCTTTGGGATTACACTGAGTGAATGTGAGATATTAATTCATATCTAATCTGATAAATCAACAGGGCTTACATTCTTTGGGATTATACCGGGTGAATGTGAGATATTAATTCATATCTAATCTGACAAATCAACAGAGCTTACATTCTATGGGATTATACTGGGTGAATGTGAGATATTAATTCATATCTAATCTGACAAATCAACAGAGCTTACATTCTTTGGGATTACACCGGGTGAATGTGAGATATTAATTCATATCTAATCTGACAAATCAACAGAGCTTACATTCTATGGGATTATACTGGGTGAATGTGAGATATTAATTCATATCTAATCTGACAAATCAACAGAGCTTACATTCTATGGGATTACACTGGGTGAATGTGAGATATTAATTCATATCTAATCTGACAAATCAACAGAGCTTACATTCTATGGGATTATACTGGGTGAATGTGAGATATTAATTCATATCTAATCTGACAAATCAACAGAGCTTACATTCTTTGGGATTACACCGGGTGAATGTGAGATATTAATTCATATCTAATCTGACAGATCAACAGAGCTTACATTCTTTGGGATTACACCGGGTGAATGTGAGATATTAATTCATATCTAATCTGACAGATCAACAGAGCTTACATTCTTTGGGATTATACTGGGTGAATGTGAGATATTAATTCATATCTAATCTGACAAATCAACAGAGCTTACATTCTATGGGATTACACCGGGTGAATGTGAGATATTAATTCATATCTAATCTGACAGATCAACAGAGCTTACATTCTTTGGGATTATACTGGGTGAATGTGAGATATTAATACATATCTAATCTGACAAATCAACAGAGCTTACATTCTATGGGATTACACCGGGTGAATGTGAGATATTAATTCATATCTAATCTGACAGATCAACAGAGCTTACATTCTTTGGGATTATACTGGGTGAATGTGAGATATTAATTCATATCTAATCTGACAAATCAACAGAGCTTACATTCTTTGGGATTACATTGGGTGAATGTGAGATATTAATTCATATCTAATCTGACAAATCAACAGAGCTTACATTCTTTGGGATTACATTGGGTGAATGTGAGATATTAATTCATATCTAATCTGACAGATCAACAGAGCTTACATTCTTTGGGATTACACCGGGTGAATGTGAGATATTAATTCATATCTAATCTGACAGATCAACAGAGCTTACATTCTTTGGGATTATACTGGGTGAATGTGAGATATTAATTCATATCTAATCTGACAAATCAACAGAGCTTACATTCTATGGGATTACACCGGGTGAATGTGAGATATTAATTCATATCTAATCTGACAGATCAACAGAGCTTACATTCTTTGGGATTATACTGGGTGAATGTGAGATATTAATACATATCTAATCTGACAAATCAACAGAGCTTACATTCTATGGGATTACACCGGGTGAATGTGAGATATTAATTCATATCTA